GTTGGGCACACCCAAATTCTTATCGACATTGTCTGGAGGGACTGGCTTGGATTGGTAGGGCAACAGAGGGGGCTCTGGGGCTGGGTCTCAAGGTCACAATATGATAGGAAACTCTCGGGGTCCTGAGTGCTACTGTGAGGGTCCTTGGGAAGGGTTGGGAGGCGAGGTAGGGCAAGTGAGTAGTGGGAACCAAAGCTCTGCGGTAGTGGGAGGGGCAGTTCAGTTCTACCAGTCCGGCCCCTTCCCACTGCCCTGGGGAGACCCCCTTGGGGGCGGGGAGGTGACATGCAGAGAGGCCATTTTAGGGCCAGCTTCTCTCTGTCTTTCTCATCCCCTCCAATCCCAGAGGGCTTCTTGAAGATCACCGAGTTCAAAACCATCTTTCCCACATTTAACAAATGAGGAAACTGAGGCCCAGAGAGGGTCGTGGCCAGTCCAGGGTCACACAGCAATTCAGTGTGACCAAACAGCAGTTCAGGAAGGACCAAACCAAACCAGCACACCTTCCCCAACAGTGTGTGATTTTCTCCCACGTGCCCCGCCTGCCTTTACTGGGAAATGAGCCAAAAGGTGGCCTCCGTGCACTCAGCACCCAGAACTCTGCCTGGCAAACAGAAGGCGCTCCAAAGAGACGTGTGAAATGGACACAGGCAGCAGGTGTACTGAGCTGTGTGCTGTGCCAGGACCACAGAGCTGTACATGCTCCTGTGCCAGGCATGAGGAGGCAGGGAGAATGGGGCTGGGCGTCGGGACGCCTCTGGGAGAAGGGGACGTTTGAGCTGAGACCCAGGGGAGGATGGGGATTGAGTGGGTGGAGGGGGAGGGCTGGGTGGCAGTTGGGGGGAGGTCAGGGAGTGCAAAGGGCTTGGGGAGGGAGCTGCAGGAGCTGCGGATTGCGGGCTGGGTGGACAAAGGGGTGGGGCATGAGGCTGGAGAGGACAGGGCCTGGGGATGGACCATGTGCCTGAAGGCAGTGGGAGCGTGGGAGGAGGTTAGCAAGTGGTTGCTTTAGAAACACCCCTGGCCAGAGTGCGGGGGGGCGGGCAGTGGGGGTGAGCTGGACAAGGGACTGCTCCTGGAACAGGTGTGAGCGAATGGCCGGTACTGAGCAGGGGCAGGCAGGAGGCAGAGCAGCAAATGGATGGGAGAGGTACTGCTGGGCCCAGTCCAGGTCCTCCTTGAGTGTCTGGTGTGGGCAGCTGGGTGGGCAGGAGGGACCTCGGCTTTCAGGGGGCAGCACAGGGGGCCATGTCGCTCCTGGGTCCCACCCACAGTGCTGCCTGTTTCTGTCTTGGGGAGGGCAGGGGATGCCCTCAGCAGGCAGCTGCCATGGGGCCACGGTCACACTCCAGGTCACGGAGCCCACAGGCACAGTCACATTCCAGAGGTGTGTGCACGTTGCAGGGGGTCGCACACGAGGGATGTTTGTGCGTGATCTTGATCTGAACCTCCTGTCAGGTCTAGGGTCTGCCCAGCAGGGGACAGCACACTGTACTGGGACCACTGAGGCTGGAGGGGGGCTCAGTGTGTGTGGGTGTGAGGGTGTGTCCACCAGAGAACATGTGTGAGGACATGCGTGTGCACAAGTGAGTGTGTGTGCAAGGAAGGGTGTGCACAGGTATGTGCCTTTGAGGTGTGTGGGCACATGTAAGTACATGGAAGAGTGTGTTTGCGTCTGACAGTGTGTGCATCTGAGGATGTGTGTGCACATGTGAGCAAATGTGAAGGCCTGCACACGTGAATGGGCACGTGAGAGTGTGTATATGTGAGAGTGTGTATATGTGAGAGTATGTATATGTGAGAGTGTGTATATGTGAGAGTGTGCGCCTGTGAGGGTGTGTGTGTGAAGTGTGTGTGTGTGCCTGTGAGGGTGTGTGTGTGAAGTGTGTGTGCCTGTGAGGGTGTGTGTGTGAGGTGTGTGTGTGTGTGCCTGTGAGGGTGTGTGTGAGGTGTGTGTGCGCCTGTGAGGGTGTGTGTGTGAAGTGTGTGTGTGCCTGTGAGGGTGTGTGAAGTGTGTGTGTGTGCCTGTGAGGGTGTGTGAAATGTGTGTGTGTGCCTGTGAGGGTGTGTGTAAAGTGTGTGTGTGCGCCTGTGAGGGTGTGTGTGTGAGGTGTGTGTGTGTGTGCCTGTGAGGGTGTGTGTGTAAAGTGTGTGTGTGCGCCTGTGAGGGTGTGTGTGAGGTGTGTGTGTGTGTGCCTGTGAGGGTGTGTGTGTGAAGAGTGCATGCCTGTGAGGATGTGTGTGAAGTG